TTTTCTTGGGGTTGTAGCCTGGTTTGTATGAGAGGGCAACGGAGCTGGTGATGGGATAAATTAGCCTGTTGCAATTCCCATTTTTGTGGGCACCTGGAGGTAAGTGATGAGCGTAATTTGAAAGTAGAGCGAGGAATGGGAGGAGTGGAGAATGTGGAGAGAGGGATGAAAAGTGATAGTGGAAAGACGAGTGTTACTGGCAGTAATACGGAGATGGACGAGTCTTTATGCAGATGCCAGGGGCAGGGGATACATAGATGGATGAACATACCATGAATGACCACCGGTGAATGGCCATAGTTACCTATTTTCTCTCAAGTACTCATCCACCAGTCGTTTGAAGGAGCCAACTGATTTAGCTGTGGCTGCTTCTTCTGAGAGTGTTCCATAGGACATGCACTGTGTGTGAGAAGAGGTTTGATCTCACCCTCGTCTTTCCCCTATGGTGGGGTATGTGAGCGGGTTTCTTGTGAAATTGTCGGTTTGAGGCTGGTGGTGTCCACCTACCTGGGCGGTCTGCCTAGTGAACGATATTTTCGGCTGTTATAAGGTTGCCTCTTTTACTTTGACAGGCCAGTGTGAATAGTTTGAGTTGTCTGAGGCCTTGAGCATGTGTTTGCTCGTCAGTCCAACGACAGGCTTTGTCTCCATTCTCTGGATCTTCTCGAGGATACTCGCGTCTCTCTTTGGTAGAGAGGGTTTATCGTGTTGAATACAACTAGGAGTGGTCTAATATGAGTTTTAGTGCCATGTGAAATGATCCCGGAGTCGGTGCTCTTAGCTGCCTCCTTAGGAAGTGTGTGATGGAGTTTGCCCATGCATCCACTCCCACATAGTTTGTACTGGCATTCAGGATGTCCGGGAAGTTTGGTCCTGGATCCTTCTCTGTAGATACCCTGGTGATTGTGCACTTGTTGGGGGTGCAGCTGGTTTTCATCGCCTCTGTGATATACATGTAATGGTTATTATTCAGGTGCTAACTATGATTTTCGCAGCTAGCTGCCTCCTGCCTCCCTCCCTCGATCAAAGAGAAGCAGCACACTGATGCCTGTATGCAGGGTCTACGTTACCGTTTTCGTCCCTGCCCATGCGGGTATCAGGAATCTTATGCCAAACTGTTAGTTTCCCTTAGCATTTAACGATGGCTCAATTAATTAAACAATTGACCTCTTGGAATCTTTTGATGCCCCCTTCACAATTCCCCCATGTTCACAAGCTGTGATTACCTACAAGTTGACTGAACTCAGCTGCTAGATTTACTGATACGGTTATCGATCAGAAACTTTAGGTAAATCCCCAAAACTCATACCGATTCATGGTGAAGAGAAAATCTGAAATCCAAGGAACATGCATCACTGAAGGTCTGGACGGAGAACTCCTCACTGGACAAGAGATCAAAGTGTTAAGTTCACTTTTGACACATATCTGAATATCTCTTGACACAGCACGCATACCTGCAGAACGAACAGCCTTCGACGTTGTTCGGTGCAGCAGAGTTACGTGAAATACGGATAACCCGAGGGGATGTTCTTCATAAGCAATCAAAGCTAAGTGTGAGGAGGTCTTCAGCGCAATGATATTCGGCCATCTCTGCTGAAACAATGTAGGAGTTCCCCAAGTGGCTCACTCTACAACCTTTCGCAATACTCCTCAGATGAATAGACGCTCCCGCGGCAATGGAAACGCTCCATCCTGTCTCCTATCTTCAGAGGAGGGGAAAGCCAGAGCGTCGGAAATGAATGACATACTGTGCAGCGACCGAGACCAGGTTTGAATACATTTGGAAAACGTTGGCTTATATCAGCGTTTGTCAGCAGACGCTTGAACTGACTGCAAATGGCACGTGGAGGCACATCCGAGAGCAAAGTTTTCAAACCAATCGAGACCGAGGAGGTTTAACTCCGCGTCAGATAGATTCCATTTATCGAAGTGTCGTAAAAAGATACAGTACATGATAACTGACCTGGTAATGGTAATCGGCCACCGCATGCGCTAATAGCAGTTTATACAGTCTTCTGGATAGGAGGTCGACCAATCTCCCACCACAGCTTCTTCGAAATAATCGTTATATCGAAAGCTGTGTCGATTTGTAGTCGTACTGAATGGTTATATATCTGGACGGTGATATATTTTCTCCATGCTGGTGCACTTACTTGAAAAACAGCAGTAAGACTAAGAGATTTGCTGACTGGTCGAGATTTCGATCTTCGACGGTGACTGGGTGGTGACCTACCCGTTCTCTGTGATGAGTGCTGCTTGCAAAATCTGTCCTTATGACCCACCATATTACACTCTCTGCATTTATTCTGCTTATAAGGACAAGATTTAACGAAATGCCATGTGCCACAATGCCAGCAGGAGGATGGAGGGGTCTTCTTCGTGTTTCTTTTGGTATTGTATGAGCTGTAGGGATGACGAAACGGAGACGAAGAACCAGGAGTCTCCTGTCTTTCGACCAGAAAAGGGTGCAGAGAAATTAGATGTCTGGCGAACCGTATGCACTTCATGATCACCGTGGCGTCCGGATTGGACTAGACTTGTATCCCGTTGTAGGTTCACCAGTCGTTGATACTCAGCAGCAATATCATTCAACGTCAGTGTTGGTTCCTGCTCCAACCGATTTGGCAGTCTCATTCTGATATCCGAGAACCTGGGCGATTGAAGGCTGCAAATGAGTACCAAAGACTTGAGTTGGCCATCGGTGATGAACTTCAGCTTGAATTTTTCGCATTCACGATTGAAAACATCAACATGGGTGAGAAAATCATCGTTCTCGTTCATGACCAGTTTAAGACAACAATATCTGTCATTGAAAAGAGACGAATGATCACCAAAATGTTGTCTTAGGGTCTGTATTATGGCATCGAAGGAGCGGTCTCTTGGGTTCTGTGACAGTATTATATTGCAATACTGATCTAATTCGGATGGACCAGGTTTTCGAAGGGGGAGACGAACTTTCCATGAATCATCTTGACCAGCAAAATCAACTCTGAAGTGGTCTTCACAACTTCGGAACCAGGTATCGAAAGTCTCGTTAGCATTAGGATCATAATGAAATTCTGTGGTACTGGTTGCAATTCCGTCGACTGAAGGGGCTGATATAGCAGGTATAGGATTCAATGATTCAGGTGTAGAAATTCTGGACTGAGTTAGTAACTCGATAATCTTCACCTGTTTTTCGAGAAATTTGTCCAACTTCGAAGAGTGCATTTTTCATCTCATCCCCGTCGCCACTGTTACGATCCCATCTACAGATAACGAGTAAGCACACCACTCTGTTGAGGAAACTGTACTCGAACACCTGTGAGCATGTTATAGACTACAGTGAGTTATGTACGTCGAGTGATGTCTGTCAAGAATATCCTCTATCTTCATTCTTATTCAATTTTGTCATAGGATGTCCTTATGGAACTATCCCTCTTGTCATGACATACAAACAGAGGGAATCAACGTAAAACCTCGCACACTAGTGCATTAGTCCGAGTTGCCACACTTCACAGTATTATACAAGTAAAAAGTGGATAGACAAAGACTAATAACAAGTTAGAAACAGTGGTATGAAAGATAAAGATTACTGCAAATATTCAGGCTTTAGAAAATGTCAGAGTGAATACATCTGCGCCATTATGACAGATTTTCAAGCCATTTCACCAAGAGTCCTCAACCACTGATTCCTATCGTCTCAGTGACCCAAAGCAGGTAGTCTAGACCTCTGTACATGGTTCCGACCAACAGTCGAGGACTTCGTAGACTGGTACCACGTCCTGATCTGGCCACTCTGATGAACCCTCTTTCAACCTAATCCAACTTCACCCGGCATTGCACATCATGGTAGGTGGCGTCTCGGCATGCTCAGTACATGTCAAAGCCACCTTAATAGATGAAGGTTCACGACTTTATCAAGTGACTCCCCTCTCCTCCCTACAACTCAACGTGTAACTTTTACATTACTGACTAGGTGATGCCACGACACAGCATATGCTACTAAGGGGACAGTGGTTCGATAATGGCCTACAACATGCTAAACAAACCGGGCTATTCGAACAGAAGAATACCTCTGAGTGACCACCAAGGCGATGCTCGTGGAAACTCAAGGAGACTTTCTCACCTAAGGTCAAATGCGCGCGTGCGTTCACACTTCTCCCTTCTAGTCTGCGGGCGCTCAAACGCACTACCAGCAAAGGTAGTCTTCGCCCCACCTGTCTACAGTTTCAAGAGAAGGCAGAACAGTCACTCAGTGACTCACGATTTACGCTCATCTGGTCGGAACACAAACTGGATCGATGAAATAAACTGTTGTCATACCGTTCCTGCCCCAATTGTCTTCCTACTCCGAACACTTAAGCCCCCTTAATCCCGCTTACTCGCTCTGAATTAACCCTACTCACCCCCCGGGCACGCATTCGCTTCGGGCACAGACAGGGGAGATGAGCGGTACTCCTTGAAATTCCTCAACATTTTTCTCGAAACAGTCAAAAATTCCTGAGTGTGCCCAAGTTGTATGCAACGCTCCCACAGTTCACAAAGTGTAGGCAGTGTGCCCTAAGTTTTGAAATAACTCATGTTCAAAGTTTTAAGGAGCCATATTCGGCGATGTTATTGCAGTGTATATGGTTTATGTTCCATTGCTGCATGTATGCTACATATGTATTACAAATCAATGGAATGGAAACGCCTAGTGGGGGATAAGAGAACAATTTATGGCACACTCGAAATTCGGCAAGTGCACGCGAATTTGCCTAGAACCAAAACACGGAAATTCCAGAGTGTGTCCGAAGTAACTGCCGGCTCTGAAGACCTAGAAGCGAACACGAGGCAATCGACTGATTTACACAGGATCATTAAACAGACATTGAATACTGAGCATTCCAGTGCTGCTTTCTCAGTGCTGGTTGTTATACATATCCGTTTATACAGTGATGGAAATAAAACTAAAGATTAATAGGGTTAGAAAGTGGTACTTTGGCTTTTTTGATGGCGATATCGTACTTAATAATTGGGAAAACGAGAGTTAGCGCTTTATCTTACTCGCGCTAAGTTTGGTATTGGGTTTTGCAGGTTAGAATCACAGGCAATTGGGACCCTAGCTTTGCTTGCAGGTAAGTGGTTATCAGGAGTGGAAGGACCTGCATCTTCGGATGCAAACAACATTTATTAACAACATTTCTAGTTGCACTTCCAATGGGAGCCATGGATTTTGGGGAGGTTGTAGTCTGGGATGAATTATCACCTGGTGGTTTTGCATCTCTAGATGGTAAAAGATGATAGTTCTCACATGTTAAATAATAGTTTGAAGTGCATCTCGATGCTTAGTTTGTGTTGGTATGATCCGCCATCATAACCTGTATATTGGGTGGGAAAGAGTAACAAAGAAGCATGAGAAGTGAAGTTGGTTGTCTCAGAATTTAGGGAAGCAATATTGAAGACTAGAGTATCTAAAGAGGACACGGGGAATAGGGGGTAATATGATTTTATGTTCTACTTATGGAATACCTTTGGCGTTTTGTGTAGTACGTTTCTCATGTCTGAGTTTAAGCAGTATTACTAACGCCTAAAAAGGATGACTTTTGGATTTGGAAACAAGTGAGGGCTTTGATAGTTACTGTTACTTCCAGGGAGGGGAGGTTGCAGAGAGCATATTGGGTTTAATGACCTCAGATAAGGGTGGTTTCCATAAGTCCTCACCATCAGATCTGCCATCTCGCCTTAAGCATTTCTGCACTTTCTTGGTCTGTCGCTACTTTACCTGTGCCACGTGCTGCCATCTCTTCTTCCCCTCTTAGCCTCTATTCTTTTTGATAACCACAGTGGTACAGCTGATATGGGGAGGCTAAATGTTATTGCACTGGTTATCAGGTACCCAGTGTCATTTTTAGTCTTTGTTGTGCTGCGTCAATGCACATCCAAAGGCCTCAACCATTCTTGGGCATCTCATAGATAAGGATGGTTTCCATAAGTCCCCACAATCAGATCTGCCATCTCATGTCATCAAGCTGTTTTTTATATATGCTGTTATTCATTAGCTTTTAGTCTATCGCTATTTTACCTACACCACTTGCTATCTTCGTACCCCCTCCCTTTAGCCTCTGCTCCCTTTGCTAACCGTAGTACTACAGATAACATGGGGTTTGAGGTTGTTGCACTGGTCATCAGGTACCCGGCGTCACTCGTAGTTTGTTGTACACATAATATGCTGTGTAGTTCGATAGAACACAGCACACCAGAGGTTATGTAGTCCGCCTGTAACTACGGAGACATCAAGATGTATGTTGTAGTGCAAACTGCGCTTTCCTACATTGGCCTTCCTGCAGTGTAGTTCCATGGAGCATTTCCGAATTTCTCGAAGGCCTAACTCCAGAGGAAAGTATTTATGTGAATGTTTCTTCAAGTGCATATAGCAGCACTCACCTCTGTTGTTCGTCTTGTTACCTAGGGTAACAATATCCTGCATGAGACATGAAGCCCATATATACCGACTGGCCCACAGATTTGCGTCTATGTTAGCAGGCGCTGCTGAATGCTGTGTTCTCGTGGAGCGTCTCAGTTCAAGAAATTATTACATGTCGGTGAGGATACCTGTCAGGGTCACGAGCGTGCACCATTTCTCGGGACATAAGTTTACATTCCTGATTACAGAACTGCGAGGTTCTCATTTTTCGGTACATGGAGTACCTTATTGTTAAACGAGCGTATAACATGAAAGGCACATAAGACAATCGAATAGGACGAGAATTGACTGCGAATAGCTCTCTGCACTGTTGTTGACACCAAACGTCACAGTTCGTGATGTGTTATCCATGATGGTCTTGAAAGACCGCAGCACATTCTCCACGTCCATCAGGGGTTCTCGGTGAGTTATGCTATGCATCACAGGGAAGCTACGATGGAGGCCATTCGTAATAACCGATTGATAAAGGGGGGTGGCTAAAAAACAGAATTGTTAACCTTAGCTACGTAGCCTTTCTTGAAGGTTTTGTATGTAGAATCCATACTGAAAACTTCCGGAAACTTCTCATATTTCGTTATCATTTCCCGAGTTACAAAACTGAACATCTCGACTCATTCATCTCTGTCCAGTACATACCACACCAGCCATGTCTTTCAAATTTCTAAGACCAGTGAGTCTGTCACAAATTCCTAAGCATGTATGAAAGAAACATGCCACATTACTAGGGTATATCAGTTCTCGGGAGTTTCGACAGTCATCGTACGCCATTAGCTTCCCGATCTCTTCGTCAACCATATCGATAATTCGACTTGGTGCATTTCGTTCGACTAGCGTTAGAACACTCAATTGCTAGTCACCACTGAGCCTTCGAACACGTGATTCCACAGATATCAGCAGCTCTGACGACAGATCATGGTTGTGTACAGTGTTAACAGGCTCTGCAGCTTCATAACGCTCGGAATTCAGTTTAATTCAGAAGGTGAATGGGCAATCCAAGCGATTTGATCTGTAATGAATATGTAATGGTTTTCATTACAGCACTTACTGTGCTTCTCGCTGCTTACTGCTTTCTGGTTTGCTCCACCGACCAACATGGCATTGAAAAACGGCATACTGGTACTTGTATGCTGGGTTTACATTATCGTTCTCGTCCCTGTTTAGACCAGAATCACGAGTCCTATAAAAACAGTTTTGTTTGGCATTTAATGATGACTCCATTAATTAAACAACTCACATCGAATCGTTTCTTGCATGCTTCACACTCCTGCCGTGTTCGTAAGCTTCTACTCCTCACAAGTTGCGTGAATTCAGCTGCTAGATTTACTGCTGCAACATTCGATCTGAAGGACATTTTGATGTCGCTTTACAAATGCCAATGGTTACAAAAACGCGTCTATTTAGCGTAATAACGAAGCCTGGATGTTTACAAAATTAGAAACTACCGCTTTATCTCACTCGCGCGAAGTTGGATATTGCATTTTGCAGGTTAGAATGGCGTCCGGCGACTGGCACTCGAGGTTAGGATCGTCCCCAGTGACTTGCACTCGACGTTAGGATTGAGTCAGGCAACTGGTGCTCGGTCTTATATCCTACCTTTTCTGATATGTTTGTATTCTTGTAGATAATTAGTTATAGCATGCTGTTTTATCTTTTATGTATGGAATATTGCTTGTTCTCCTCTAATGAAATGCCTTTCCAATAGAATAATTCAGAAAAGTTTGAACAGGTATAACAGTTCGTACCGCTTCACAGAAACGTACGGAGGGCTCTGTCGACCTCACTGCTTAAAAAGCCTCTCTAGCCTTTGAGTATCTCTACTGTTTTCATTCACTTAACCATCTCTGAAACTAGAGAATTCTACCATCCTTTCAATGACCAATCAGAAATGAGTTGGTTGTTAATTAATTTTCTAGTGTTTGGAAGCCTTCAAAAGTTATGTTTTTATTCCAAGTAAAATGGTGCAGAATTTCGTTGGATTTTAGATTTTTGGAGAGTAAGAAATGACTTTACTAGCATGAGGTACAAATACTTCTGTGGGTTAATTGACTAAAGCTTGAAAGCTGAACTTGGGAATCGACGTCGAGTTAGTCATAAAGTTTTCTTACTTAGTCTTGCGTGTATAAGAGTTTACCATCAATTTATATCACAGAAAACAGTTAACCATGTCTTTTCAGCCATATATATATATATATATATATATATATATATATATATATATATATATATATATATATATATATATATATATATATATGCATATAATTCATGAGTCACTGAAATGTCTGCTTAGCTCATTCTCGCACCAATACTTCAGTACATGTGACACTCGTGCTGTTATGATCCAACGCTATATGTAGCGAAACAACACCCCGAGACGAATGCGATTAACGATAGAGCAATGATTTCTCAACTCGATATTCCTCTGACACCAGAAGACGAGACTGAGAATTTATTCACTCCAACCGAATAATGATAAGTGGAAACTCAGTCCTTTATATATCCTTAGATGGCTTTAACCAGAGAAAACAAAATAGCATATTCAAAGTGTAAAATGGGCCAATCAGCGTTCAGCATTCTGAACTGTGGTAAAAATAAGAAACAATATGCTGCAAAAGGAGCGCGAAAATAAGGCTTAAACTTTACAATGATAATATAAACATATTATGAGTTAGTTGTCTTAGGGGTTGGCCATCCCCAACATCTCCCCGTTTGTCTGGAAAAAAATGGGTTTTTACTTAGGATCCAGCTGAAACCACTATTCGATTTCTGCGCCCATCTGATTAACGTCAGGGTAGGACTTCTTTTTTTATTGCAGGGGTTTTGAGGTTTCCTGGGCATCTGTGCGTGATACTGCGAACGTGTCCAGTAGGATTTCTAGTGAGGTGCTGTAGGGTTTTGTTTCTTCGACTGGTTGTGCTCGGTATCGCAGTTGATTTTTATGTCGCACCCAAGTTTCTGTTCCCACTGCGACATATAACACGCAGCTACATCTGCCGATTGTTACTCCTTCAATCCATTTTTGATGTCTCGATCTGTAGTCTCTGGTGAATATTGGCGTTTCGATCTCTGAATACTTTTGACCTGCTGGTAACCTTTTTGGCCGTTGTTTTAAAATCAGAGCATCATGAGTCATACGTAACTTTCTCTCCATTAGTGCTCGTGATGAACTCTGGTGATCTGGGAGTGAGTCGTTTGCTGTTGTTCGGTACATAAGTAGGAAGTTTTGAATTATGTCCAGTGATGTACCTTCCCCCCGTGCTTTCAGTAGAGCCCTTCTGAGTGTATGACGAAACGCTCCGCTTGTCCATTGGACGAAGAGTGGTATGGTGGTGGTAGCACATGTTGTATGGCACGTCGACGACAGAAGTCTTTAAATGCCGTAGAGGTAAACTGGGGGCCGCTGTCAGATACAATAGTGTCTGGAAAGCCGTGGCAACAGAAGATATTCAGCGGATTAATAAGTGCGATTTCTAGCCATTTTGAGTAGGCGTCTACCAAAATAAGGTAATGGTTTCCATCAATGGGCCCGGCGAAATCAACGTGAACTCTCAACCATGGGCGTTCAGGATCTGGTCAGCGTACGGATGATAGTCGTGAAGGATGCTTGGCAGCATGTTGATATTCTGGACACCGATTGACGCAGTCTTTAAT